GGTCAGACTAATTTTTGCTTATTGAGCTTCCCTTTGCCCTCCCCTTATGTCAAAATAGTATTAATCTCTTGTAATTTGGACCTTAAAAGAACCTGTTTCCAGGACCTGTAGACAAAAAGGAACAGGGATGGTCCTCTTTTATGTATGAAGTGTGATATGCATGGGGAAGGTCCCACTTCATTTATTTTGCTTAGGTTATGTGAGATTCCCCTTCTACTTGAACCTTTGCCTCCATAAAAAAGGCAAAGTAAACCTCAAGAGAGTTTGTTCTTTCTCACTTTCTCATCCTGTCTTCTCTACTCAGTCAGCAGAAAGTGGACCTCACATTTGCAGACTATTACAGGATGCTTAACTGGAAGAGGTATGGCTTATATTTTGCCCCAAAGGTGTTGAGGTTCATAGTTATTTTAATTTTCACCATGAACAAGGTCCATATTTGTGATAAGATACTTGGACATCTTTGCCTGATGCAGCTTCACTCTTGCAACTGTCTGATTTTCTGGTGAAATGTCATGCAGCCCCACTAGCAAACTGGGCTGATGCCTTGGAAGATGAGGACCCAGACCATGATTAAGACCCTCTCTATAGCAGGAAGCCGTAGAAGAAACTGGTGCACTGAGGTGATTTGCTTTCAGCAGGACATGTTACAGACAGGAGCTGTGCACTAGAGGCATATTTAGGCAATTTTACTCCCTGTGTAGGAGCAGTGCATGGGTCAGTAACCAAGCCACCAGCAGCGATGGCAGCAGCAAGTTGGAAGCAATGGTAACTGCTATTTTTGTGCATCCTAAGTAAGAGTCTAGGCTGGTACCCCATTTTCCCCTTATTTACACTACTGCTATGTGCCAAATAAATAGCCTTTTTAATATTGTCTTAATGTCTCTACCTACATACATAAACCAGAGCCACTCAAAACTTTTCTGTCATGAATCAGTTTGAGGTAATATGGGGTTTTTGACTAAATGAAAATACTCACAAAGAAAAAGTGTCTTCTTGTTTAGGAAATTTTGACATTTTTTGAAAAACTGAGCACTTGCAAACTACTGCACTTTTAGTTTGGAGGGAAAACTAGAGAAAATTGAATTAAAAACTTCTTTTTTCATTCAGAAATATTGCAGCAATGATTCATGGGATGCGTGGTGTGAGAATCTCAAGTCTGCTCTTATCTTTGGGTCCAGTTCTCCAATTGTGTTACTTTACTTATAATGGACATCAGCCAGGAATTCCTGTGATGTATCACAACTGCTCAACAGGAGGACAAACCATTGGGCAACATAGAAAATATAATCCAACCGCTTATGAATAACTGAGAAATCAACCACCATAGTCATCATCAGTCCATCAATACAAGGATGACAGGCTTCAAGTACATAAGGAAGTCACTGGTGAGTTCAAGTTTCACATCCATAGAACAGGGTAGAGATGACAACTGCCCAGTAAATGAAAGGTTTGATTTAGACTCTGATGTCACAACCATCAAAGACACAGCTTGAGAAACATCCAAGAGCAGCACTGGCAGATTGTATCCAGTACTGAATATCACCATTTATGTTTTCTTTTTGGGAAATGCAGCTACCCAGGTAGGGGAAATGCTAAACATTCTCCAAGGATTTCCCTCTAATTGTAATATGGGGAGGAGCAGCTGGGTGGCTTGGTGTGACTTGGTAAAGGATCTTGGTTTTTGTGAAGTTGACAGTGAGCGCATCTTACTGCACAGTAGAGCTAATTACTGCACAGTAAGCATTTGTATCTACATGTACAGACACTTACTGTGCAGTAATTGGCTCTAATCATGAGTAAATTTGCTACATGCAAATGCAAGTAGCACATTTACTCATTATTAGTAACTCCTGGGCAGCAGGGGGTGGGAAATTGCTCACTGCCCCTGGAAGCTGCCTGCTGCCAAGATCTCCCAGAGGACGTGGTGCTGGGAAATAAGGATCTCCCAGCCTGGGTCTCACAACTGTAGAGCTGACACTGGGAGATCCTTATCCCACAACTGCAGGACTTGGGCTGGGAGATAAGAATCTCCCAGCCAGGCCCCGTGATTGTGGGACTCAGGCTGAGAGATAAGGATCTCCCAGCCCCAGTCTAGTAATCATGAAGCAGGGGCAGGAGGACATTGTCCCCACCCAGACTGATGGCAGAGCCCACCTCAGCAGCAGCTTCTGGGTACAGGGAGCAATGTTCCAGCCCCTGCCAGGAGACAGCTGTCTCCTGTCCCCTAGGCTAGCACCCAGGGGGAGCTTAGAGCTCTCCCTGATTGCTGTAGGGACCAGTTGTAGGACCACAGGGAGTGGAATCAGTCTACTGCTAGGAGCAACAAATCTGCTCTTACATCCCTGCACATGTAGACATGTGCCCAGGAGAGTTTACTCAAGAGTAAACTGCTCTCATGATTATTTGCACATGTAGACATGCCCAGTGAGTCCAAGCATTTAATATGCTTCACAGAAGCAATCAAGAGTGACTTAGAGCTCTTTGATCAAGTGGGTGCACATGACACAATCAACAGCATGTTGAAGATCGGTAATAGAGGTGTTGGTGATCTTAAATTTGGAATGTAACCATTTAATGTTAATAAGATTACCATCCAATACGATGTCAGATGTTGACCTTGAGTGGAAGTCTTTCAGCAATAAGAAGTGGAATAGTTGTAATATAGATTGACAAGTGTTGGTAGAATCACACATCCTTGCTTGACTCCAGTTCTAATAGTGAAGATGTCCATTTCTGAGCCATTGCTTAGGAAAAATGCTGTCATGTGCGAAGAAGTCTGATAATAGTAGCAAATCCTGGCAGGCATCCAAATCTCATCAAGATCTTCCATAAGGCCTCTCTATTGTTTAAACCAAAGACTTTATTCAGGTCAATGAAGGCTGTGTAAAGATTGTAGTGATCTCGATTAATTACCGCTGAGAACAAGGAGTTACTGTATTGCCAGTTCGCACTATTACATTGAGCATCTCTTCATCTCTGGTAGTTCTCTTGAATCTGCAACTCCTAGAGACACATGAATTAAAAAGTCTGTTTTCATTAAAAATAAGTTTCTAGCCCTCCTAGTCATGGAGAAAAGTTGGAAACTGTCCCTGAGTGTACCTTAAAGTTTAAAAGCAAGAAGACAAAATAAAAAAGCATCTGTGACTTTTTATAAATACTCAGAGTTCTTAACCCAGTTCAATGATTTTAGAGGATTTCACTTATGATTGCTAAAAGGTTGTGGGTTACAGTACTCGAACTAATTAGAATAGAACAAGGAGATATAAAGAGAGGTGATTTTGTGAAATCAAAATGTGGGCCATTTGCCTGGCAATTGGATTTATTTCTTTCATTTCCCGAAGTCATGGAAAAGCCAGTGTTTGAGACACTTCGAACTAGGTACTGTGAATGAGAATAAACACACCAAGAGGTCACAAAACATGGACCCCCCCGGCTACGGACCAAATAAGTTAGGCCATAGTTTTCTTACTAACCGTACAAACTGTATTAGATGGAAAATATACCAGAAAATGCATTCTGAGGAAAATCCCTTTCCTGACAGAGAAACAGACTAGATGATTAACCTTTGTCAGCTATAAATACTCTGGATCCAGGATTCTGTGATCACTTTACTTATTGCAATTAAAGAAAATTCCAACTGTATCAGACAAGATATAGCTCCTATAGCTACAAGCCACTAACACTAGCCAAGGATAGTTGACTCCTCCCCTTGGAGCCAAACTTATTCCCACTGAAAAGTCACTCAGGCCCAAATCCACAAAGGTATTTAGGGCACCTGTGATAAGGAGTTGGGCATCTAAATAAATCCCTTTGGCAATCTGAAGTCCCACCAAAGCCAAGAAGAATAGTTGTGGAGAATGTTCTTGTCCAATGTAAATAAAAGTACTGCAAGGTGACCCTTTGTGAGCATATGGGCTACAGAATTCAGGGAATAAACTTTCAGAAATTGAAGGACGCTGTGCTGTTTTGCCTTATATAATATTATCTGGAAGCCAAGTCCATCGAATTGGTCAAAACCATAAGCTACTTTATCTTATGTGAGCGATCCTTTTGTATTCAGTGGTACTACTCATGTAGGCAAGAGTTTGTAGAACTGAACTGTGTTATGTCCAGATTAAACTGAGCTGCCACAGTAAAAAAGACAGAAAAGTGAATATACACAACTAAAATCTGAACAGTCATTGTATGCAGCCTTAGTAAAGAGCGATGGGATATTGATATGGACCTAGTATGACATATAAAAGTCTCTGGGAATCAAAAAAAGGTATCACAAGTGAAATGTGCATTATACTCCAAGTATTAAAATGCTGTGTTCTATATTAATGATTCTTACAGAAGCAATACTACTTTTCCAGCTTTAGCGGGTGATCTAGTGAAAGGGAACTATAAGACCAAAATGACTCTGTCTCCCCTGCCAGTAACAACAAGTACCGGCAGTGTCCTTCCTTTTTCAAAACGCTTCCATTTCTTTCCTTTTTTTTTTTTCAGTTTCTTTCTGAGCTGAATGCAGCTCGGAACATAATTACTTTTCACTGTAGGCTCAAAAAGTCACTAAGCAGCTGATAAAAGGCAAAGGAATCAGTACTATTTTCTAGCTGAAAAAAGGGTTTTTCTTATTGGAGCTGATAACTCTCACCAAGGGCTCCAGGCTTTTGTTACATCAATTTGAGGAACTCATAATCTCTGCATTATGAATGTTCAACCAGGATATTTCCTGCTGTAGTGCATCAGGCACCTTCAATATCGCAGCTCCTGTTGTCATTGTTGGGTAAACAGCTTTTGACACGTTTTCAATATGATTACATTAGAACAAGTGGGTCGTGATTGATAACCTAATATTCAGGCCATGCAAATCATCAATCACTGGAAGTATATTAATTATTCAATGTAACCGTCTAATACAAGAATCAATGTTGGAAATGAAGAAAAGAAACTCTCAGCTCCCAGAAGAGGCTACTAGATAATAAAAAAGGAATACTAAATAATCTGAGCCCATAATCCTCTGTTTAATAAAATCCATTTATTTAGCTGTCAAAAACATGATACAATAATTTAAAAAAACAGGATAATGAAACATATTTTTAATTCTTTTCTTGGAGGAAAGATACTTTGTTGGTTTAGGCAGTGATTAAATTTGAAATTTAAAAAATAAGCAGCAAATAATGAGAGTGACTAAGATGTACATTAGAAAAAAATATACCTCAGAGAAAACAGGTGTTCTCAGTTATGGTTGATAAAGTTAAATAGGCAGTGACACTATGTCTCATAAACTGGGCCATATATTCCCCATGGACAGATCGACATAGGGGACAACTTTACTCAGAAAATTATCCCCTTCGAAGTGGCCAAAATATCAAGGATTATGCTCTTAGAAGAGGGGTGTTTGCAGGTTTTTCCTTCTTTTTGGAAGGCAAGGGATGGTGGCCATGAATGTTCACAGAAGACACAGGAATAGCTCAGTAGGAAGCAACAGAAACTACAGAAGCATAGAGCAGGCCTGTTGTAGCTGGATGGTGTAAAAGGGACACAAAACTGAGTGCATAGGTCCTTACAGTTTCTTATTGTCCTTCCCCAGCTATCAATAAGGATCTCTATGTCTTCCAAAGGAATCAGACCAGCTTCAAACAACACAGAGCATCTTGCACGTGAAAACCACTGTGAATTAATGACATTTTCAGCATTAAGTCAGACTGGATTCTATGCATGAATTTCAGTGCTTTTCTTGCAGTACAATCCCACATGCCTTGGCTTGTCTTCACTTTCATTCCTTTCCTTTCTGGTCATCGCCAGATTTTACCATCTTCCTTCATTCCATAGTCAATAAGGCCCCTTGCAAGCACTGGCATAAAATACTTTTGGCTATGTTGTACAATGTCATTGAAACAACCCCTTGCAAGTATAGATTATTTTAACCTATTTTTATATAAATTACCATCTTGTTTCCAGGCCCTGGCTTTTTTCCCAAATTTGAGGATTTGGCCCTTAGATTTGCAGAATCTGGTCTTCTGAAAAAGAAAAATCAGTCCTTATGGGGTTCAACAAATGCAGAAGCTGAAAGCTTTTTAAAATACTCTTTACTAAGCTATCCATACTTCAAGAATAAAAGACAGACCTTTGACATCAAGTCAAATTTCTGTATTCTTGAATGTGCATTGCACGTCAAACTTACAAAATTTTGCACCTTTGGATCATGGTGCAGAGTTTGGTATCTTAAAGTAAAGGAAATGCTTAGCCTCACCATTTCATACCAACGTTGAAAACTATATAAGTCCATCAAAGGAAGAAAAGGAAATTGGTTATACCCTTCAACCTTCATTCTATACAATGATACATGTCAAAGGTATTTCAGTTACTACATAAGAAAATGGACACTCTGTGACAAGTAATACATCAATTTCCATGTCTTCAGAGGTCATATGGAGTCCCCACAGTTTAAAGGAAGAAGATGACAGAGATGCTTTCTCCACAAGCAACTCCAGAAGCTGTAACAAGAATGACTCCTAGGAAACAGTATTCTCAGCATGATCACCATAAATACCTGCAGTGTCTGATCAATGTGCAGCGGTCAGTGACACCATACTGCCAATAATATGGCCCTTATCACTAATCCTTCAGGCAAAAAAATAAGTAGTGAAATCATTTGAATGTTCACTTCTAGCAATAATTTACATATGAGCAGGACGTAGCAAAATCAGCAATCCATCCAGACAAGAACTTGGGCAGACTGTACTGAGGCAATACTGCAGCATGTGATGTGTTCCTTAGCCTGTAGATAGAGCCAGGAGTCTACAAATGTGCATGTTGTGTGTATGCAAGTGTGTTTAGGTATATGTGTACAGTATCATAATTCCCCTTTGTCTTTACACAACGTGCACTCAAGTTCTGCATTTTCTCTTATGTGAATGGCAATACAGACTGAAGAAGTGTGCCAATTCACTCTGTCAGTGGGGAAAAAGGAAAAGTTCTAGTGATGTTTTCTACCACTTGACTCCTTTCTTCCCTTGGAGAAGGAATGTCACCTCCTGACTTCAGCCTCCTCACACAATTTTTATTTCTCTAAGGCGAATTATTAAGGCAGAAGAGCTAATCATCTTCCTAATATTTTTCCTTCCTAGGGTCCATGATGAAAAAGCAGTTAGCAAGATCCATCAGTTCTTCTTAGTGGGTGTTTGGATCATCCAAGGTCAAGCAAAAAAAAAGGCAACAAAACGGAGTTTGCAGCCTAATGCGCATAAACAAAGAAAGTCCCCAACAGTTAACAGAATTTCAAGTTGTACATAATTCCCTAAATAGTTACACTAATAAAAACTTTTTGTGTCCATTTCCTAAGAGAGAGCAACATGAGCCAATTAAATGTTGAATCAAAGCTTAAAAAGTTGGATGTTTCAAAACAAAGGCAGGCTGAACTTACCAAGAGACTATAGACAGCTCTCTAAGTAGGAACTGATGCTCTGGTTAAGCTTGGTCCATCCATTCTGAAACAAGGAAAAAATTAAAGGAATAAGTAGGTTTAAAATAGAAAATTGTTTCCCTAGACAATGTGTCAGATTAATGAGCATAGCTGTATTGGAAAATATGAAAAAAATCAAATACAAGGAAGTAGAAATCAATTCATCTTTCTTGCAGAGATTTTAAAATCTTACACAGTAAGACTGTGAGGAAGTGTGAGCAATGACAATTGGGTTGGCTGAATATGGTAGCATGCAGATTTCTGTATTCATCCATTTTTCCATGGCCACCAGTGTGACTTTCTCCTCATTTTCTTCTTCCTGCACATGCCTTCACAGCCAGTTGCTATAGGTTGTGTAGAGGGTAGTTTGGTGGTCTTCTGAGGACTGGTACTAGGGGAAGTTACAAAGAAGTGTTCCAGTAGCGCATGGAAAAAAGCACTTTGAGAGTCTACTAAACAAACATGTTTGTAGACACTTATTCAAGTGCTTGTATATCCCATTCCAAGGCAAGTGCAATCATAACACACTGAGCAAAAGAAGTTCAACTACAGGCAAAGCATTTTGATCAATAAAGGAGACTGTATGGGCCTTACTGGTTCTTGCCAACTCTTGTTAAGTACATTCAAGCTTATTCTTCAAAATATATTTTTTAGAATATCTTTCATGTTTAGTTCTAAAAAGCATTGTATTTACCCGAGAGATCAGAACAAGCTTCAGTTTCCAAATCATTTAGACAGATTTTTTTTTTTAAATATATTTGCACAAGAGACCAACATTTCTCTTTATGTTCTCTCAGGCAATTGCATATTTAGGCTTTTTTTTTTTAAACAAAGTTTTTCTTGTGTGCCCAGTTGGGCAATTGGTTAAACAAACATGAATGCTTTTTAAACATGCATGGTGCTATTTGGCTAATTAAACAGAACAGGTCTGTTGTCAGCTTCATAGCCTTTCACATACACCACGAAAAAATAGCTAGGAGTTCCACATATTCTATGCTGGGAAACCTACAGACCATACATGTGAGACTAGAATCTGGTCCATAATTTGTATATTAAAATTGATTGCACAGCACTCTAAACAGACTAGGGTGACCATACGTCCTGTTTTTGCTGGGATAGTCCCATTTTAAAAACCAGTCCTGGGCATCCTGTCAGTTTAGTCAAATAAACACTTTTTTCCTATTTTTGTCCTATTTTCCATGGAACACCCAGGACATGTTTAAAATTCGATTTTAACACACATGAATGCATGTGCACACACACGCACACACACAAACTCTGGTGTCTTGCAACCCCACATGCTGCTCTAAGACTGCAGCTTAAGAGACAGCTGAGCATGCTGGAGAACAGAGGAGGAGCAGTGTGCCCCCTTTTGACAATCAGAAAATATGGTCACCCTAAAACAGACCTAAGAATTAGGGTACATTGGTTGCCAAGTTTCACACTGGTATCATTTTGAAATCTAATTTATACACTAATTTTGACCTAAACCTGGATATGAAGTATCATGCCAGAGGTAAAAAATTATCTTTTTCTCTCTGAAGGTGGGAGAGTAACATTTACATCTTGTATCCCAGTCCTGTATTGTGGTAAGTACATCTTGCCAAAGACCCTCAAATTTCACAGTAGTTCATGAGATTCAGAAGCCATCACCACCTCTCAGAAGGTTCTTGACAGCTTATCAAATTGGGCATTTCATCTTCTCTTTTAAGGTAGCATCCATTTTTCATGGTACTGCCATGTTAGTACTCACATCATTATTACTCATAATGGTGTGCTCTACTAGGCCACAAACACCAAATAAAAAAATAAATACCAAATAACAGGGAAAACATAAAGCATTGTACCAATACCATCCTCCATTTCAATAAGCACTGTGTTGTGTAGTCTGTCATCCTGCAATAGAGAAGGTCCAGGGGCTGCAGTTGTCTCAAGAAGGGATGAGAATAAATAGTCATAGCAGGTCACCTGTGATTGTCAGCTCATGGAACTGTCTGGTCTGGGCAGGGGATGATGGTTTAACGGTTAGGATACTAATCTTGACTTGGAAAACCCAGATACAATCACTGCTTTACATGAGCTCCAGCAACTCAGACTCAAATTCATAAAAAAATTTAGAGACTATAATGTTTCAGGGGTGTACTTGGTAGCCGTGTTGGTCTGAGACAAAAAGACATACAAAAAACTAGAACTCTTGGTTCCAAAATGATACCTTTTATTAGACCAACTGGAAAATGGCAAGAAAATTGTCCTTTTCTGCA